TCTATTTGGAAGGGCAAAGGTACTAGAATAGCTAAAACAGTATTGAAAAAAATAAAGTTGGAGGCATTACGTGCCCGATTACAAGACATACTGAGAAGTTACAATGATTAAGATAGTGGTATTGGTGAAAGAATAGATAGAAATCAAGGGAAGAGAATAGAGTCCAGTAATAGGCGCACACAGATGTATTCATGTAATTTTTGACAAAAGGTGCAAAGCCAACTCAGTGGAGAAAGGACAGTCTTTTCAACAAATGGTGTTGGAACAAGTGGACAGCCATAAGTAAGTTAAGTAAATAAGGGAGTAAATAAATTAATTAATAAACAAATAAATAAATAAAATATAGACACAGACTTTACATCTTAGATAAAAATTGAGTCAAAATGCATTTTAGAGTTAAATGTAAAACATAAAAATATAAAACTTGTAAATGAAAACAGAAAATCTGTGTGATTTTGGTAATGACATTTTAGATAGAACACCAAAAAGTATAATCCATTAAAAACTAGATTTTCTTCAAAATTAAAAATTTCAACCTAAATTTAAAAATCAAAAAGAAAGAGTTTTTTGCTCTCCAGGGACACAAGACTGGTTCAGTAATTAAAATCAGGGGTGCCTGGCTGGCTCAGTTGGTAGAGCATGCAACTCTTGATCTTGGGGTTTTAAGTTTGAGCCCCACATTGGGTGTAGAGATTACTTAAAAATAAAATCTTAAAAAATCAATCAATGTAATTTATCATATTAATAGGCTAAAGAAAAAAACTGCATGACCATGTTAATTGTAGCAAAAAAAAAATCATTTGATAAAAATCAAAATCCATTATTTAAAAAAGCATTTAGAAAAATAGCAATAGAGGGCAATTTTCTCAATTTCATAAAGAGAATATAGAAAAGCTTAAAGCTAACTTTATATTTAGAGATGACAGACTAAAAATACCCCCCTCTAAAACCCTCTTACACTGTTGGTGGGAATGCAAACTGGTGCAGCCACTCTGGAAAACAGTATGGAGGTTCCTCAAAAGTTAAGAATAGAACTACCCTACAATCCGGCAGTTACACTACTAGGTATTTACCCAAAAATACTAATTCTAAGGAATACATGCACCCCAATGTTTATAGCAGCATTACCTACAATAGACAGATTATGGAAAGAGCTCAAAAGGCCATCAACTCATGAATGGACAAAGAAAATACAATGGAATATTACTCAGCCATAAAAAAGAATAAAATCTTGCCATTTGCAAGGACATGGATGGTGCTAGAGAGTATTATGCTAAGTAAAATAAGTTAGAGAAAGACAAACACCATAGGATTTCACTCATATGTGGAATTTAAGAAACAAAACAAATGAACATGGGGGTTCAGAAGAGATGAAAACCAAGAAACAGACTCTCAACTATAGAGAACAAACTGATGGTTACCAGAGGGGAGTTGGGTGGGAGAATGGGTTAAATAGGTGATAGGTAAAAAGGAGGGCACTTATGATGAGCACCAGCTGTTGTATGTAAGTGTTGAATCACTAAATTCTACACCTGAAACAAATATTACACTGTATGTTAACTAACTGGAATTTAAATAAAAACTTGAGGGGAAAAAAAATACCCCCTTTCCCCACCAAGTCAGGAATAAGGCAAGACGTCCACTCTCACCACTCAGTCAACACAGTGCAAGAATTGCTGTCAGTGCAATTACGGCAAACAAAGGAAAGAAAAGGCATACAGATCTGAAAGGAAGAAAGGAAACTGATCCATTTTCAGATGATATGGTTGTCTGCATAGAAAATTCCAAGTCTACAAAAAAAAATCCTGGAACTAATATGTGATTTCTTTTTTTTTTTTTTAAAGATTTTACTTATTTGACAGAGAGACACACAGGAAGAGAGGGAGCACAAGCAGGGGGAGTGGGACAGGAGGGAAGCAGGCTCCCCGCCGAGCAGGGAGCCTGATGTGGGGCTCGATCCCAGGGCCCTGGGACCACGACCCGAGCCAAAGGCAGATACCTAATGACTGAGCCATCCAGGTGCCCCACTAATATGTGATTTCAGCAAGATCACAGAATATAAGATAAACATACAAAAATCAATTGTATATATACCAGCATTGACAACATGGATAATGAAATAAAAAAATAATATCATTTACAATTGGCAAAAAATACTTATGTGCAAATATAATAACACAAAACATGCTAAAAACTATAAAGCATTGGTGAAAGAAATCAAAGGTCTAAATATCTGGAGACATATCATGTTCGTGGATTGTAAGATTCAATATGCTAAAAATGTCAATTCTTTTTTTTAAAGCATCTTTTTTTCTTTAAGATTTTATTTATTTATTTATTTATTTGACACAAAGAGAGAGCACAAGTAGGCAGAGTGGTAGGCAGAGGGAGAAGGAGAAGCAGACTTCCCACTGAGCAAGGAACCTGATGTGGGACTCGATCCCAGGACCCCGGGATCATGATCCGAGCCGAAGGCAGACACTTAACCGACTGAGCCACCCAGGTATCCCTAAAAATGTCAATTCTTCCCAAAGTGATATACATGTTCAATGTAATTCCTATCAAAATCCAAGTAAGACTTCCTGTAGATATAGAAAAGAGTCTTCTAAAATGTATATGAAAAGACAAAAGAATTATAATATCTAGGACAATTTTGAAAAAGAATAAAGGGGGAAGAAACAGTTTATATAATTTCATGACATTATATGGTTAGAGTAATTGAGACTGTGGTATTACAGGGTAACAGACATATAAATCAACAGGATAGAATAGAGAACCTACAAATAGATAGACACAAATATGCTCAACTGATTTTTTTTTTTTGAGAGAGAGAAAGAGCACACACATGCATGCAAGCTGGGGGGGTGGGCAGGAAGGGCAGAGGGAGAGGGAGAGAGAGAATCTAAAGCAGGCTCCATGCTCAGTGTGGAGCCTGACGTGGGACTTGATCTCACAACTCTGAGATCATTACCAGAGCTGAAATCAAGAGTCACATACTTAACTGACTGAGTCACCCAAGCACCACTGCTCAACTGATTTCTGAGAACAGTGCAATAGCAATTCAATGGAGGAATGATAGGCTTTTCTAAAACTTGTGCTGGAGCAACTGGAAAAGAAAAAGAACCTTGACCTAGGCTCACACTTTATAAAAAATTAACTTTATACCATGGACTTAAATATAAAACATAAAAATATTAAATTTAAAAAAAATCAGAGAATATCTTCAGGATCTAGGGCTAGGAAAACATTTCTTAAATTTGACACCAAAAGTACAATCCATAAGAGAAAAATTTGATAAACTGGACCTCATCAAAATAAGATTTTTGCTCTATGAGAGACCCTGTTAAGAAAATGAGAAGACAAGCTGCAGACTGGGAGAAAAAACATGCACACCACATATCCTATAAAGGACTGATATCTAGAATATATAAAGAAATTTCAAACTCAACAGTTGAAAAAAGCCAACAACAACAAACCAAAGAACCCAATTGGAAAATGGGCAAAAGACAAGAACAGATATTTTACTGAAGAGGATATACAGGTGGCAAATAAGCATATGAAAAGATGCTCAGCATTATTAGACATTAAGGAAATGCAAATTTGCTATTACTACATACCTTTCTGAATGGCTAAAGTAAAAAATAGTGACAACACCAAATGCTTGTGAAGATACAGAGAAACTGGATCACACACATTTCTGGTGGGAATGTAACATGGTATAGCTACAATAGAAAACAGTCTGGCAATTTCTTTTCTTTTCTTTCTTTCTTTCTTTTTTTTCTTTTAGCCAGAGAGAGGCAGTGGGCAGAGGGAGAGAGAAAATCCCAAGCAGTCTCCACGCCCAGCGTGGAGCCTAATGTGGGGCTCGACCTAACAACTCTGAGATCATGACCTGAGCCAAAATCAAGACCTGGCTGCTTAACCGATTGAAACACCCTGGTGCCCCAAACAGTTTTTTAAACCCCTAAAATGGCATCACCATATGACCTAGCAAATGCACTCTTAGGCATTTATCCCAGAGAAAATAAAACTTATGTTCACACATAAACCTGCACATAAAAGTTTGTAACAGCTTTCTTTATATTGGAACCCAGATGTCCTGGAGTGGGTGAACTGTTAAACTGTGGCAATCCACACCATGGAATATTACTCAACAATAAAAATGAATGGACTACTGATACACACAATAACCTGAATGACTCTCCAGACAATTATGCTTTGGGACAAAAAGCCAATCCCCAAAACTTACATATTACATGATCCCATTTATATAACATTCTTGAAATAACAAAAGTATAGAAATGGAAAACAAATTAGTGGCTGCCAGATGTGGGGTCTGGGGGGAAGTGGGTTTGGCTATAAAAGGGCAACATGGGGGATCCTTGTGATGGTTAGAATATTCTTTATCTTGACTCTATCCATATCAATATCCTGGTTGTGATATTGTACTACAGTTTTGTAAGGTGTTGCCATTGGAGGAATCTGGGTAAAGGATACATGAGATCTCTATTATTTCTTACAACTGCATGTAAATCTACAATGATCTCAAAATAAAAAGTCCAAGTTAAAAAAATCTGTTCCCCTATGAAAGAATTGTTAAGAGAATGAAAAGATAAGTCACATACTGGAAGGAAATTACATATCAAATAAAGGACCTGTATCCAGAATATATAAAAAACAACATTAAAACTGAACAAGAAACTGACACAATGAAAATGTGTTAAGAGATAATTCACTGAAGAAGATATATAAATGGAAAATAAACATATGAAAATATGCTGAAAATCTTTAGTCATTGGAGAAACACAAATTAAACCGCGATGAGAGATCCATACATATCTATTAAAATGGCCAAAATAAAAGAACCTGCTAATATGAAACATTCCTGAGAATGCTGAGTAAGAGGAATGCTCATTTATTGCTGTTGGGAATGGAAAAATGGTATATCTACTCTGGAAAACAATTTGGCAGTTTCGTAATAGAGTTAAATATGCACTTACCAGATGACCAGGCAGTCCTACTCCTAGACGTTTACCCAAGCGAACTGAAAACTTATGTTCACACAAAGATATGTATGCAAATGTGTACAGCAGCTTTATTTGCTATTGCCAAAAAATGGAGATAACCAAGATGTCCTTCAAACAGTGAGTGGATACACAAACTGTGGCACATTCATAACATACAATAGAATATGATTCAGCAATTTGAAAAGAACGAACTATTGATTCACACAACATGGATACATTTTAAATGCATTTTGTTAAGGGAAAGAGATTAGACTAAACTGACGTTCCAGTAAAGGCCAATATATAGGGAAAAAAATAAATCAGGGTTGCCGGAGGTTCTGAGAGGAGAGTGGGATTGAGTACAAAGCTGCCTCATAAAGTGATGAACTTCAATGTATGAATTTTTTTAAATAAAAAAATAACCTGGATGTCAGGGATCCCAGGATTGAATGCAAACTGACGAATGAGTTTAATACAAAATGTATGATACAACTTGCTGAAAGGGGTGGGGAATATATGGAACTGACAGGATATTTTAAGGACAAAGGCAAAAGGAGCTATACATACATATCCTACTCTGGTTTATATTTTTTCTCACCCTGTATAGGTTAGCAATCCTGAAACTTCTTTATAAACATATTGTGCATACTAGGAAACAGATTTCTCACCACTGGAGAACGAGGTTACAGATAAGCAAGGGAACAAGGACAGAATGAACCCTTCAGTGATGAACTGTAGTTGGAGATATCAACATGAGTTACATTTATTTTAAAATGTGTTCAGGGTTTCTCCATCTCAGCATTATTGACATTTTGGGTCAGATAATTCTTTGTTGTGGGGAGCTGTCCTGTGTGTTGTAGAATGGTTAGCAGCATCTCTGCCCTCTACCCACTAGATGCCAGTAGCATCCCCCCAGTTGTGACAAAGAAAAATGTCTAACGGAACTGCCAAATGTCCCTTGGGAGAATTGTAAAAACACCCCCAGTTGAGAACCATTGAGACAGATAGATAGAGAAATAAATGTAGATGTTTGTATATACATGAGTTAGTATACAAACATATATTTCCAATACCTGTCCACTGAGAGAGCAGGGAAGCAATGGCAGCCCAGCAGCAACAAGTACAACAAGCCTATGCCTTGGTTTCCAAATACCGTTCCTACATGAAAGGAATCAAGGTTCCCAGGAGAAATGCCTGAATCTAGGACTGGAACAACAAACATAGATGAGCATGGGACATCTGTCAGTGTCAGAAAGTAAGATGTGCTTTAAAAATAAAAAAAGATAAGGCATGGGGCGCCTGGGTGGCTCAGTTGGTTGAGCGACTGCCTTCGGCTCAGGTCATGATCCTGGAGTCCCGGGATCGAGTCCCGCATCGGGCTCCCTGCTCGGCGGGGGGTCTGCTTCTCCCTCTGACCCTCTTCCCTCTTGTGCTGTCTCTCATTCTCTCTCTCTCAAATAAATAAATAAAATCTTTAAAAAAAAAAAAGATAAGGCATGTTAAAAGGACACAGGTGCCCATCTGAAAGTGCCCAATGATCAAAGCTTGATCAATTTGAGCAACAACAATAAATAATAGTATTGTATTATAGCCCAAATAATAAAATAAATGTTAATGAGTCCATATGGATATAAATAAATGATTGAATAAATAAATAAATGGGAGGAAAGGGACATACTTTTCATAAAGAGAAATTCCAATAAATATAGAAGGAATGATGGAAATAGAAAACCATTATTAGAACACTATAGTAATAATTGCTATAAGCATGATCCACAAGTGAATGTGAAAATTAGTGGGGGGGGAACAGTATATTTGCTCAGTTCAAAGTATATTGCCCCAAATTCACTAATTACTGTGATGGCTTTAACATATGTACACAAATTCTTTGATAATCTTCCTTCCAGGAGCTGGAGCTTAATTCCTTTCCCTTGAGTGTGGGCTGAACTTCAGTGACTCGTTCCCAATGAATAGAGTATGGAAAAGGAAACATAGTAAATTTACAATAAAGAAGACAAGTAGACACTATCTTAACCAAATGATTAATGCTAACATCACCAGTAATAAGGCAAGTTTATATCATGTGTCCTTGATATGATGCAATGAGAAGGACATATCACCTCTGTGGTATTCTTTCTAAAAATCCATAACCTAGATGTAATCATTAGAAAATACCAGCCAAATCCAAATTGAGATATGCACCAAACTTTCTCACAACTACTCTTCAGAAGTGTCAAGGTCATGAAAGACAAGAAAGACTGAGAATCTGTTACAGATTGTAGGATATTAAGGAGACAGGATGGCTAGATGCAATGCGCGATGCTGGACTGCATCCTGAAACAGAAAGAAGGCCATTAGTGGAAAAGCTGGCAAAATCCAAATGAAGTCTGTAATTTAGTTAATAGAATTGTATCAATGTTCGTTTCTTTGTTTACACACACACACACACACACACACACACACACAAAATGGTTACATAAGATGTTCACATTAGAGGAAGCTGAGGAAAAGGTTTAAAGAAACATTAATATATTTAAAACTTTTCTGTAAATCCAAAATTATCTCAAAATTTTTCTAAAATTCTACGGAAGATAGAACAGGCAAGATAGAACTAAATATGGTTGAATAAGGAAGTCGATAGAAATAACAAAAAGTTAAGGTCATGTCAACATTCAATAAAAATAAAGATGACTATTAGCAGTCTATTCACACTTCAACAACTTGAGATGAAGAATAAATTGTTGAATTGTTAAAACGTGTCAAAGTCTTGACAGTAATATGCATCATCTCTGGAAATAATCAAGCATGTACATGTTCTTATTTTTAGGATTAATTTGAGTTCAAATTATATCCATAGAAACTGCATGTTTTTGGCCAAAATGAATACTTCTGATTATTTTTTTCAAAAAAGAATGATACCTAAAAATTCACATTTCAGCATTTGACTGAATTAATCTAAATAGTAGATAATGGCATAAGTGACCAAGTTCACTAAGAATAAGTTCCAAATTTAGAGTGAATACACATCGGAGAGCTTCCCACGATTGAAAAAAAATTCTCAGTTGATCTGAGATCTATGTAAATCAGTAGGCAATTTGCAATAATTTTTTCCTAATGGATCCATTGTAAAAGGTGATTTTCATTGAACACCTGTTATTCCTTACCCATATCCCTTCACACACATATACACATCCCCACATACCCCACCATATGATTCTCCATTGACTGCAGCATTATTCACAAAACGGATGGTGGCTCAGCCTCATGTCATCATTCATCCATGATATACAGGACAAAAAGAAATGCATTGTGATCCTTGAATGGAAAAAATTATAAATCATGAGAGAAGGACAACTGAAAATTCTAAAGATGGGACTGTTGCCTGGGTAAAGGAGAAGGAAACCAAACATGTAAATCACCAAGAAGTAATAACTGAAGTTGACACATTGCACAGAATAATATACTTGAAATATCCTTGCTCCATAATCTGATAATAGCCTTATACTTTCATCATCAGGATCTCCATAGTTATGGACGTAGAATTGCACTTGCGATCACTATGAAGCCCGATTTTACTCCCACCCATCCCTACCATGCCATGTACAGTCCAGTCCAATGAAACTCCTTACCACCTCCCAAACATTCCAGGGTCTCTCACAGCTCTTTGTTTTTACACATTCTAGTCCCTCCACTTAACACACCCACCCCTCCTACCTGTCTAACATTCTTAAAGAAACTAGTTATTCCTTTATCTTCATTAACATTTTCCATACTTCATTGTGATCATCCATTTAACTGATTGTCTCACATACTAGAGTGTGAGCTAGCTCACTGATGGCAGCAACACTGTGTCTTGATCACCTTTTATCCTCAGCACCTAGGACAACCTTGGCACACAGCAGGCTTTGACAGAAATTTTTTCTAATAGTTGAACCATTGCCAAAAGAGAGAGATGGTCAGTTGTGCCCTTCAGGTTCCAGTACAATAGAAAGTTCTACTATGGAAATAGGGAATTTTGAATAGTCATAGGTTGCATATGAAAGAGTTGTAATCCGAATAAAGCCACGAGTATATTTTCCTACTATGAAATGAGGTGGCTACAAATTACCAAAATGTAATGCGCCATTTATTCATCCATTCAACATCTAGTTATAGATAACTGCTACGGGCCAAGCATTGTTTGGGGCACTTGAATTATATTAGTTAGGCAAACATGAAACCCTGCCCTCTTGGAGACGACACTCTATTTGGGAGAGTCTAATGAACAGAAAAAACATACTAAGTAAATTGTTTTACATATTAGAATGTATGGATAAAGGAAAAAGTAACGAACGGCAAAAAACCCCAACACTCTCAGTTAGATATATTATGGGGAAACCCGTAGAACTTTAATGACAAAGAGAAAAGTATAAAATGTCTAGAGGGAGAAAGTAAGATAATCTACAAAGGAATATGAATCACATTGACATCAGACTTAATAAGTGTATGCAAGAAAACAATGAAGTAATATTTTTAAAAATCAAAGAGAAAGAATTTTGAAGCTAGGATTTTATTTCCAACCCAACTGTCATTTATTTTTTAAAGATTTTATCTACTTATTTGTCAGAGACAGAACAAGCAGGGGGAGCGGCAGAGGGAGAGGGAGAAGCAGGCTCCCCACTGAGCAAGGAGCCCGATGCAGAACTCCATCCCAGGACCCTGGGATCATGAACTGAGCCGAAAGCAGACACTCGACCAACTGAGCCACCCAGGTGTCCCTCAACTGTCATTTAAATGTGAGGTGGAAATAAAGATTCTCAGGCCTGGATAGCTTCATAAAAGATACTGACTGCACAGTGACCCTCTTTGAAAGCACCCTTGGAGGATACACTCTAGAATAATGAAAAAATATCAATCTAAGTGGCAACAAAGAGAATCTAAAAGTAATGCTGAGTAATTAACTTAGTGAAGTTCATAACTTAAAAAAGCAATTACAGGAAGCAAGATGGCGGAGGAGTAGGAGACCTGGATTTCGTCTCCTCTC